AATAAGGGTCAAAATTACCTATAATGAGGGTATAAAATTGTAAGAAAAAAGTGTTTGCTAAATTTCAGTATAAGTCTCTGAAAGCATGAATTATGTTTGAAAGCGAATTATTGAACACTATTTCTTTTTAGTGGCACTACTTTAAATTTAGATAAAGACCTATAGCTCACTGAAGTTTAATCGGATGAGTTTTTCATCTTCGGTAACCACTTGACATATTCGTAGAACAGTTTAACTTCTTCAAAGTAAGCATCAGTAAGGCCTAGTTTTGTAAGAGTTAAAAGGTTTAAAGTTTCTACGAAAAAATGGTTCGCAAAATTATACTACAGGTCCCTGAAAGAAATAATTATGTTTAAAGGCAATTCGCATACAGAAAACTATTTCTAAGCACATGGTAATCATATGGCCAAGAGAGACTTTACTTTAAATTTTTTTCATTTGAAAAATGTTCGTTTTACCGGGTTGATGCTAGTCAACACCGCCCCTGGTACTTCTTCACAACTTCACCCACCTCTACTGGATTGAAGTAACGCAGCTCCAAATTTAGTCTTTTTATTGTTTTGTGTAGTGACATTGAAAAAAAATTTACTAAACCAAGTTCTTTTAAAAATGTGTATTTACATACTACATACCCAAAAATTTCTTATTAAAACATATTCATTTCTCGCTGCTAGGTAATGCAAAATTGAATGCCCCACTTTTCTTAGGGCATCGCCCTGTGGAAAAAATGCGTTTTCGAATGTGAAAAGGGTTATTTTATTGATAATTTTTTCGATTACTATGCATTACATTTTCCCACTGGGTATGCATAGTCTATGTATGTATGTTAGGCAGCGCTTTGTGAATAACCTTTTGAGAAGAAATTATATTAGAATGCAAATAACATGAAAACCCTACAAAACAAACATAAGTAGTATATCGTTAACTTAATTTAGAACGGCTCCAATTAATTTCTTTCGCATTCGAGCTTCACTAAAATTTCGGTAGTCTAAAAATAAGACAACTTTTACAGCATTAAGTGCGTTCTAGCTATAAAAAAACTACTCGTTTTGTTTTTAGTGTTTAGCCAAGGATTTAAAGATATGAACAGCCCATTTCGCGCTTGGGAAAGTAAAACCCTGTCATTTGGCATTTGTCAAATGTCACTATCATCCCTTTTTTATTTGCTTAGTACAGGCTATGGAATATTTTACGACCTTACAACGCTTTAAAATTATTTAAACAATTAATCACTCAATCAACCGATGGCTGCATTACGTAAAAATTATCATCTTTTTCACGCCCAGCAAATAATCGCTAATACCGGGAGGAACTTCGAAGAGACTCACCATAGCCGCTGTGGGTGCAAGTGTTGACGATGACGCGAATTCGTTTCTGCACCAAGCTCAACATTTGAGCCTGTCATACATCTCCATCCATATAAAACCCACCTCACGCGCTGGCGAAATCATTATTGGAATGAGTAATTCTAAGCATTCTTTAAGCGGCATCTTTTTCGAATTCGGTTAACTTAAATTTGGCATTCCAAAAATGCAGCAGACTGTATTTCAAAATTAATCGGGCAAAGATAATTTTATATAGATAGTCAAAGACATACCTATATTTAAATAGTTGGGTCTAATCTCAATTTGTACATATGGGGGGCATTCCAGCCCAATTCGGCCACACTATTAATTGAATGGACTACAAAACTCCACCCTCACAATTTTTCTCAAAAATCTTATTAAAATGTTGAAAATTGTTAAATTTTTCTAAACATGTGTGAAACTTGGTTTTATACGGTTTTTGTTAAAGAATAAACTACATTTTTATAAAAAAAATCATTAAAATTTTACAAAAAAAAAAATTGTTAAAACTTGTCTACATGTGGTCCTCTTATAATTTTGCCACGGGGCGCAATTCTCTTAAAAAATCGCAGATCTTAGGTCTTTAATATTGTTAAGCAGCTGTGTACCGCTTTTCTTATTAAGCCAACGATAACCAGAAACTAAAAAATGAAACTAAGCATTTAATATTTTACAAAGTATTTTTGTTTATTTTTTTCAGATTTTTGTTTATTCTTTGTCTGATAATAAATTAACTGAAATAAAATATAGTATATGTACGTATGCATATGTATGTAAGCAGATGTACATTTATGGAAAATATGAATTTATACAAAAACAAAGTTTTTTACTTAAGTTTTGCAAATTTCATAAAAAAACAAATACAAATGATTCGTAATCAAAAAAAATAAAATAAAAAAAATGCAAAGCAAACAACGCAGCAGCAATGCACAATTCACAAAATAAGGAGAAATCTTTGGAGCAAATCATAAAAAAATACCAATAGTATTCAAATATTTCAAAATAAAAATATTTTAAAGACGAGAGAAGCATATCTTTAAAGTTGGCCACTGTGTATAAATATGTAATTGTACCACTAAAAGCAACTTACTACATATTGTATTGCTGCACACTATGTATTTGTTTTGATGGCGTTAATGCAATGGGAAGCTGGTTGCCACCAATTAGTGATTAATAAGCTGCTTCATATTTTTTTTTTTTTAATGTCAGTACTACTACATATTAGACCATAAAGGGAATTTTTATGAAAACTTTCGTTATCTTTATTATTGCTTTTATATATGTATTTACTAAAACGAGTTAAAGTATTTGCTGGAATTTACTTTTCTTTTTACCGCTTAGGGACTTTTTCACAGTGCGGAGATAGCTCACATTCGGCAGTTGGCTTTCGCTTTTCAGTATACAAATTCAAAGTTAACTGCCGAATAAGATTTAGTTGACGCTATGAAAGCAGCACTTAAAAGTACGCAATTCATTTATATACGAGTAATTTGTAATTATTTTTTTATGCTTTTAGTTATATTTTGTTTCGTTTTTTTTTTCTAGTTTTTTTTTTGTTTTTGACTTTGCTCTTAATTACATCAACCATTGTTAATACATGATTCGCCACTTAAGTAAAAAAATTAATAATTTACAAATACCTATATAGCTTAGCAACTTATTGCCGAAATGCGCTTTATAAAATGTCGCTTGTAATACTTATTTGTATGTACGTTTGCAATTATTAATAAGTAACATTAGTATGGAATCATTAAAACATTCTCCGTGCATATACGGAGAACTTTCTCATTAATATTACTTTAAGCTAATTTTAAGTTTATGGAATATAAGTAATAATGGAACATTTCGAGTATGCAGTTGTATACTGAAAATTTAAATAGTAACGAATATATGTATGTACATACATACATGGTACTTAGTGGTACTTAGTTAGACGAATATGACAGTACGTGAGTAGGTATGTATAATTGGAATTGCTTTTAATACTCAAATATCTTTGCGTGAGCTCATAAAATAAGAATCCCCATAAAACCTGAATAATCTTTGTTTGAAGGTCTGCCTTTAATTTTATAAATTTTAATAAGCAATTTTTTTGTATGTGAAAAGCTATTAATATATGATATCAAATTAGCAATGGAATAAAAAAAACTTTCATTAACGTCGAATACCATCGATTCTTATAGTTGTTTGTTTTCATTTAATACGCATATGTATTGCATTCAAAGTTCTGCACAAAATTTTAAGAAAATGATTTGGGCATTTTTCTTTTCTCTACTAAAAATCACAAAAAAAAAACGTTGGACGTAGCAAATTTTCGCTTAAAGCTAGCGATATGTTTTTTCGCTGCCTGCTATGTGTATTTATGAAAGCACTAACCAGTTTTTATTTTCAGAAATGTTCCTGGCGCTCAATTTATATTTCTTTACAAGCAAAACAGTCAGCTGGTTTCATCTTCTTCCCTTTTTTTTTTTGGAAACGATTGCTAATATTTCTATTAGTAACTTTTTTGGTTTTCCCTTAATTTGGGAGAGGAGATTCGGATTGCTGGCTGGTAATGGCTAATTTGGTACTGATACAAATTATGACAGTTGAATTACGATACCATAAATATATGAGGCGTTAAGAGTTTAGATGAATACACTTAATATATGTACATATATTTTATGTTTTATCTGGCTAAACCAGCTACGTAAATAAACAAAGTGGTTTTCACTTTTAATGAATTTCACTCAATTTGTAAATGTAGTTTACTCTAGGCTAAAAGATTCAATATTTTATCTGTACCAATAAACTCATTTCATAAGGACTTATGGAACCCCTCGTTTTCAAATAGGTTTTCGGGGCATCGGATATTAGATCGTTTCTTTTTTTTTAATATAAAAATAGGTTTAAATTAGTTTTTGGTACGTCTAAATTGCGATCCAAGTCGTGAAAAATTCCAAAAATTCGGTTTCAATAAAATGTTTGCAGTTTGTGCGAAAATTCCACGCCTGTAAAATGCTACGGCTATTTCTTTAGTTCATTAACGAAAGTAGATAAAATTTTGATCTAAAAACTTGAACATAGATGTTTTGTTTAGAAAATGACCAAAGCGAACTCGTGCAGTTTGCCTAAACTCCAATTACACTGTGTAGTCTCGTAAACTCAAACGCCATATATGCGATTTTTCATAAATTTTGCAATAAATTGTGGGCGCCTATTATAAAAATGATTGCCTTTTAGTTCCCTTTTTTTGGGGATTATGTTGATTAGTTGCTTTAGTTTAATATTTTCCTTTTGCTTTATTTATTTTCATTGCTCTTAACATATTCACTCACAGCTATTATCGTCTCTAAACAATTTAGTTACAAAAGCGAAATACTTAAAATCTAGGTTTTAGTTACGATATAGTAATAGATTAATAAGGTACTAATAATAATAAATGTGTAATTATACATATTAAGCTTACATAAATAGCGACGCACAAATGCACTTAGTTTAGCTACATATGCACATCTTCTTTGCTTTTCATATATAGTATGTACATACATACATATAAGGTAAGCATACAGGAAGAAATGTTTTGTATATGTATGTAATTGTTAATTCGCAGAAAAGGTGATATGATGATGCTCTTAAAGAATTATTTCGGTCAAAACGTAAGCAGTAACAAAAATAATTTTTTCTTTTTTATATGGAAAATTATTACATGAAACAAGCGCGCGCAATTGCAATAATTGGCTGCTGCTACTTCACTTCTTTTTGATCTATTTACACTAATTATTTCAATAAATGTAATAATGAAATTATCAGCAAATGCGCGTGTATGCCTATGCGTGTTTTAAACTAGTGATAACTAATACATGTATGTATATACTATGTATATCTATATTAAAGATATGCAAAACATATTGTAAATGATACGTTCGTTCACTCATTCATAATTTTCTTTTTTAAATATATTTTTTTTCTACTACTCTTCTTTTGATACGCAAATATGCATACATATGTGCGTACGCATTTTTCCACGCAAAATCGTTTGTCTTCTTTATTCTTGCATTTTCGTGCGGATCACTGTTTCAATGATGAATTAGCTGGCAGCGTAGCTGATCTTTGTACGTTAACTGCGTATGGCTTGTAAGCAGAACGAGTCGACTGGCTGCTCCGTCACGTCAAAAGATGCATTAGAATGTAAGCGTATGAATGAGCAAAGGTCAAATGAGCGTAATATAAAGAAATTATAATAACGATGGCGATATGGTGTTTGTTGATGGCAATAATTGATGCGATTTGATTGGATTGTTTATTTTTAATTTTTGTTGTGGTAGCATTGTTGGTTGATTGGTTTGATGTTAGGAAAGGCGGGAGACACAGATTTGCGGGTTACGAGCAAGCGCATGTGTTGATTTTATATTTGCATTGTTTACCAATAAAGTTTGCCAATATTCAGATGGAACGTGTTAAGCAACACACAGATAAAAAGAAGAGAGAGAAATCGAAAAATTATGATTTTAGAATTAATAATGTAAGGTGAATTATACAAACATGTGCGGCCGCTCAAATAATTTAGTATACGGTACCCTTTTTCAATATGTATTCACAATGTTTTTCATGTTAAATATTTTGTATTTTTTTTGTAAAGTTTTATTAAAATATGGTTAATACGCATTTTAGCAAACAATAATGGTTTTTCTGGTTTCCACTAAAAGAAATACGAGGGATATATGTATAAAGATGTGTACTTAAAAGGTACTTAGGTGTAAATATTCTCATTTTATTTTTTCGCGAAATTACGCAAAACAATCTAATAATAAAAAAATAATAAAAAATAAAAAATCGAAAATTTTGTATATATGTGTATTTGTAGTCTCGTGAAAAGATCCGAGTTATATTTATATTTGGAAACTGCATGAAATTCCCTAAAAACAAGCATATAATTTGATTATCTGACGAACCGGTACACACATTTTTTTACTAATACTCTAAATCTTGTAGTTTTCCAAGAGTATATTTTTTTATGAAAAACAAAAAACATAAATAAATAAAAATACATACATAAATGAGCATGAGCAAGTTTTTCTATCAACTGTCACCATGACTTTTTTCCACCCACTTTCTATAGTCGATAGTCTATAGTCCGCCGCCAGCACAAAAATCTATGCGAATTTTCCAGACAGTTAAAATTTGAATATCATTCTACTAAAAAAAATTTAACATGAAAAACATTGTGTATATTTAAAAAAAAAAAGTCATCGTATATTCAATTTCGATAGTAACTGTATGTATTTATGTTGGAAGCGTATGTACAAAACATTGCATACATACATCTTATTTTCCGCGGGCATTGATACGTATATGGCACGAATGTTTCGAAAATAAAAATATGTTTTTTTTGTTTGGTAATAAGAATAACAGGTTGTAAGTGCTTGTAAGCTCACCTTGGTGATATTTTGCTACCGTCACCGCCGCCACTGTTATTATTTGATGACGAATTTGCTTTATAACCGAATTTCTGTATTCGCTTCGATAGACGCGTCACCCACAGATGCTGCTCGTCGGGTGTGCCGGCCAGCAGCAGCATTTCTTTGGCAGTATGTGGGTCGTGATGCAATTTGCACGGCACCAACGGGTCGTTATTGTCTACATGTTCCTTATGAATCTTATTGCGGCATCTAAATGAAACAAATTAGGTAAATTAAAAAGGGTACATAATTAGAAGCGAACGAAGAGAAAGATTCGAGATTCTAAACTTTAAAAGGCTCGAAATTGTTAACATAAGACTAATTTAGCGCTAACGATCGTTAGCAAAAGTTTGCGAAAAAAGCTGTGTATACCTACCTCTTGCATTCATATGCCGCTGGCGGCTTGAACATGTGCCACAATGGTTTCGGACAGACTTCGCATGCTGTTGGCATATGATATGTTATATGAACAAATTCATGGCCTGTGTGAAAGAGATCAGAAATATTGATTTTTATAAAAAGAAACTCACATTATGAATAATTTTTTTTTTATATCTTACCTTTGTACATTATAGAACTGGGTCTTTCGTCTGCCAGCAGCTGACTTATATCCAATTGGTTTTGTTCGTCCGGTCGACGCGCTTCGCCCTCACCAGCATACAGCAATTGGAAGATGCGTGGGATCTCTTTGGCATCGGCGCGTATCACATCACCTTGCGTCACAGAACGCACATGGAAACTTTGCTGAAATATAAAGAAATTCAATATATGTGATTGCGATTCTGGTTTGAATTATGACAATTTACCTTAAATCTAATATAAGCACAGGATCGATTGTATTCTGTTTGTCGATTTCGGTATTGTAAAATATAATTTTGCGCGATGACACAATCACATATTGTCGCTTCCACCCATGGCGACGTATATTTTGCTTATTTGGCACGCTTAACCAGCCCTCAAATACTGAGTCCTAATAGGCGAGTGATAAGAAAAATGTAAAACAATATCTAGTAACATTGAAAATGATTTAAAACTTACAAGTACCTGAGTATCCTCAGGATCGTTGTCGGCTGAAGACAATGAGGCGGTTTCATTGAGCTTTGACTGCAATTGCTCGATCTCCGTTGCCTTGCAATCGATTTCCATTTGCAGCTTCTGCTTGATCTGCAAATAGAAGAGATCAACACATTTGTATATTATCTCCTTATAAGTCCGTTCTTTAATATCCAAGGCGTCGTCTTCACATCTTAACCGATTTGAATTCATTGAAAACAACAAGTCTACTTACGTGGCTATCTTCGATGATCTGGCTTTGCACGTCTTGGAGTTTGAGCGATAGCTGATTGTATTTCTCGCGCTCTTGTGAGAGTTCTTGCTGTAGCCGACGCATTTCCTTCTCCTTTTTACGCAATTCGGCGGATGAGCGCGCCTTGCCTTTTTGTCTATAAATGTAATATAAATAATTGTTAGTGGATTTTATTAAGATTCGGATTTTATTATTATCTATTCGACTGATGACCGACTCACTTTGCAGATCCGTGTCCCGGCGGTTCATCACTTCCGTCAGCTTGTTACTGCGACCTGCTTCAGCAACACTTCGGTCTGCAGCTTCTCCTTTAATTTTGCGAGCTCTTCGTCATTCGTAGCCCTCAGCTGAGACATATCATCCTGCAGCTTCTTATATTGTTGGAGTAGATCGTCGGTTTCGGCGTTCTTTTGATTCAATTTCTTTACATATTCAGCTTCAGTTTCTTTAGCTACTGTAAGTGCCGACTCCTTCGCTGCCAATTCGTTGCGATACTTCGTCATAAAGTCTTTCAACTCAAACTCCTTGATTGTCTTCTCTTTCTCTAGATCAGCTACGGTTTCTTCTGCTATTGAGCGCGCCAATGCTTCAGAGTCGGCGCGCGCCACAGCCACTTGCACTTGGTGCTTCAGGGAGGTGCGTTCCTCCTTCAGGTCCTGTATTTCGCGGCTACGCTCCGATATCTCTTCGCGGTGCTCATTCGCTTGAGTTTTGTAGAGTCGTGAGAAATACTGTTCGGCTTCCAATTGATCCTGATATTCGCGCTTCAAGAGGATTTCTTTATTCAAAGTGTTTTTTATTTGAGCAATTTCTTCTTCGAATTTACGCTTCGCTTCCCGCAAGGAGATGACCTCTTTTTGTAGTTGATTTTCACGCGATTTCAGATGCGCCACCTCTGAACTTTGCAGACTTAGCTCAGATAGCAACGTATTCTTTTTACTGTGTTCCTGTTCCATCTGGGATTGCAGCGCCATTACCTTTTCCGTTTCTTGCGGCATTCTCCTTCTAACTTTTGAAGGCGCTGCTGTATTTGGCGATAGTCCACCGACAACATACTTAATTGGCGCTCCTTCTCCTGAGAGTTTTGGTCGGCTTTATGCGCGCCGATTTCTCTTCATTTAACTTGTCTGCAAAGCTTTAACCTATAAGAAATATAGTTAAAAATATATTATGAATATGAACTTCAAACTCATATAAATTTCTGTTGCAACCCAAGCGTCAAATTTCTAAGTGTTTTTTATAAAAAACTGTCATTACCGCTGCTAAAAAGTTTTCACTTTAAAAACTCACCTCCTGCAGATTAGCCTCTTCGCGGCTAAGCATTCGCGACTTCTCGGTTTCTTGATGCGCCTTCACTTCTTGCTGATATCGACCCTGCATCGCTTTAAACTCAAAGTCCAGACTAGCTTCGCCTTCTCCAAATCGGATATTTTTTCTGTTAGTACACGATTATCCTCATGCGCCTGCTGCTCTCGCTGAGTCGTGCGATCCAAATCATTGGACATTGTTTGAGTTTATTCTCCGACTCTTTTACAAGTTCTTTCAATTGCGAGCGCGCATTTTTCTCTTGTGCCAGCACGCTTGTGTTTCAGCTACTTCTTGCTGCAGCGAATCCTTTTGCGACTGCAGGGTGGTAATCAATGCTTGCAATTGCGCCAATTTACCCTCTAGCTCCTGTTGGATCAAACCCAATTCGGCCACTTGCTTCTTGAGTTTTTGCACATGCTCATTTTCATTCTTGAAGTTCTCTTCCATTTCCTCTAGCTGTTTCTCTAATGTGACAATCTTCTCGCTGTGATGCTGATTATTGTTCATTTCGCGCGTACGTATCTTTTGCTCGTTGTCCAGATTGCGCTGCGTCTCGGCGAGCAGTGCCTCAGTCTTTTTGCGTTGCTCAATCTCTTGCTCGACTTTTTGCATGGCCACTTTATAGTTATGCTGCCGCAAGGCCAAATCCTTCTCATACTCTGAGGCGATACGTTGCAGTTCAGCTTCACGTTTTGTTATCAGTTCGATTTGTTGACGCAATGCCTTGTCTTGCTTTTCCAGAGTTTCAGAGTGATTTCTTTCACGTTCAAGCAATGCTTCGAGGCGTTTTATTTCATTTGAATTGGATGGACGATGACGATGGCTGTGATTTGCTATTGCATTCGCCGACTCCTTTGTCTCAGCATCGACAGTGTCGTTGGAGAGAAGCTGGTAATCACCTGTGTAGAAAAAAATTCAATTTGTTGAATGCGTAATAAGTAAAACAAAAATCAATAAACTTCTTCCGGCTTTCTTCACGTTTCACTCTCATGCAAACAATAAATGCTTGGCGGGCTTGGTCAGCGTTTAATCGGCGTTCTTTTCTTCGTGGCATACCGGCAAGGAATATATATATGTACATTAGGATGCCTCACAAAAAAAAATGCGGGTTTTCCACCGGAGTTATAAAATTTAATATACTCGTTTTTTAAGACATCTGCCACTGGACCGATTTGAAATAAACTCCACAAATCTCATTAGTTTGATTCCGTTGAAAAAAATTTTAACACTTTTATGCAGACCTCTTAAGCTTAAACTCTTCTATCATTTGAAGTAATTTTTTGGAAAAAATATTTTTAAAAACTAGTCTACATAAACATAATTGTGTATATAAAAATTTAAACGTTTTCTTTGTTAAAACTTGGCTCAAAACTAAAAAATAGGATTTCAATCAAATTTGGACAGCATATTCCTCGGACATATGTTAATCCGCTAAGTGGCTCTAAATCTATATTTATAAATCTAGTAGATTTTATGAAATCCGATTTCCATATTCATGTATTCGACCTTAGTCTCAAATCTAATAAGCTTTTTGCAAAGATCAGATGTGTATTTAATATAACATTCTAAGCTTAAGATACATTTGTCAATAACGCTTTCAGTATGAAACAGCCTTAAGTTAGATACAGCTATTTTTACTGATATCCCATTGAAATTACGTCAAAAAACCAATACAACTTTAGAGCCGACTTCATTTAACTGTATCTACGGGGCATTGTTTTTAAAATCATCTAAGCTGCATTTTTAGCTTTAAAAAATCTGCTGCAAGTATATGGAAAAGTAAGCTATACGCAGACGGAATTGCAGGTAGATAATTTCAAATCGATCCAGCTCACGTAAATCTTTATATTTTAAATATAATTGCGCTGGAAAAAAGTGCTTTTTTTGAAGGGAGGGTTGCACCCTAATATACATATCTATGTATTTATTTTGTATACATAGTCTATCGCCGCCGTGTTTATGCTAATAAATATTCATGAATATGAAATGATATTATTACTTTGTTCCGATGTTTGTACATAAGTTAGGACTGGGAGTTCTATACGAATAATCCAGACATTCGATTTACTGAATAAAAAAATCCGAATAGTGTGTTATAAGTATTCGGATATCCGAATAGTGTATAGATGTCGGAGATATTCGAATCTAAAAATAACAACAAATAATATTGTTTGTGTATTAATGAAGTGTTCTATTATTTATTTTGCAACTCGATAGAATCGGTAATTTTTAGAACAATATTAGAATATCCGGATATCCAGAAAAGGAAATGAACGGATATTAACCGGATATCCGACTTTTATCCGCATATACGAACATCTCGAATATTTCAATATATGGATAGTCCCAGCCCTATTGTATGTACCAAAAGAAGTAGGGATCGGCTCATGGAAAAATATTCTACAATGATCAGAACATCGAGCTGTGTCGATTTATCCTTGTCCATCTGTCGCCGATCTGTCTCCTCCGTTTAAGCAGCTCTTCTGCTGTCACTATAGCCTAGCTCCCATATAACTGATTCTTCATATATCTAAACAGTTTTTATTGGAAAACGCGGTAATCTGAATTACCAACTCGGGGATGCACTATCTTTAGGTTGGTCTACCGAATTCCGGTTTTGACCGGATACAAAATAAATGTCATATCTTGGCTCTCGAAACAGGTTTGCAAATTTTCACTGTGATGACGTGAATGAATAATGTTTGACAGATTATTCCGCTAACTATTATCAGTGCTTTTTGTCTTCACATTGCGGCGTAGCATTGCTGGTAATTCCAAATTTTTCTTAAATTCATGCGAAAATGCACTGATTTACATTGAAAAATTTGTTGAATCATTATTTATGTGGCACCCTCATTAATGGTACTTTGCTGATAACAAAAATATTATGCATTGCTAATACTTCATAAAATTTTGGGGAGTAACACAAAGTAACTTGGTCACTTGAACTTTGTAAACTTTTGCTCAACTTCATTATAGTACTTTAAGCGAAATTGAACTTAACATTTACTAATTCTTTCTTTCTTTTAGCGCCCAAATGTTGGAGCGCGAGATGCGTGATCCGCACAGTATTTGCAATATCGATTGCCTTTGGACACAGTACAGCACTGGTTAACGATTGCGATCATGAATCATTGAAGCGTCTGAAGAATATCGAACAATATGCCACCAAATGTAAGTCATCACCAATTACATATGTATGTATAAACCATTTACC